TGGTCAGGACTAAAGACAATAATTGCTGAAAGAAATAGAAATCAAGACAAGATTGAAAAACATTTATTAGAATTCATTTGGCGAAGAAAACATAGAGAGAATATCTGGCAAGCATTTATCGATATTGTTAAAAATTATTAATTTTTTTAATAAAAATTTATTCTAAGATATGTTCCATATCACGATCAAGTACTTTTCTTGCGATCAGATTTGCCTTTATTTTTTTATAATCTTCTTTTAACTTTGAATTAATATTTTTTAACTCAATAATCTGTATATTTTGTTCTTCAACTTTTTTTGTTAACTGTGTTATCTTAACAAAAGGATTTGAAGGCTTATATCGGATACATGTTTTGTTTCATTCCTTGCAATGTTTGCACATCTCAGATCCTTTGATTTGTACGCATTTTCTCTTCCATCTACGACAAACTTCACATGAAAATGCCATTTCTGTATAATTTTTGTTTATATTAAATTTTCTGAATTATTTTGGGTCAATTAACATTTCAAAATTAAAATTACTGTTTTTATTTATAAAAATTTCTGTATATTTTTTTGAAGATTTTTTGGTTTATTTTGTTGTAAAAAAAGTTTTGTGAGATGCGTTAAGCAGCTCACAAACACACATACTACATTTATCGCAAGCTAAAGGATGAGGAATAGCGCACTTAGAAAATTAGATTGCAACAGCGTTGCAAGATCATTTTCTATACAGCGCATCCTGCTATCATGGATAGCAGATTGAGTAAATAAACAAAAAATAGCGTGTTAATCATATGATTTATTATAATTTTTTTTAATTTAATAATATAAATAAAAATTATTTATCAATATAAATAAAAAATATTTTACTATATAAATTTTTAAACAAATATAAAAAATTATTTTATCGTATAAATATTATTATAATTTTTAATTCAACAATATAAATAAAAATTATTTTATCATATAATTAATATAATTTTAATTTAATAATATAAATAAAAATTATTTTATTATTATAATTTTTAATTTAACAATATAAATAAAATTATTTTACTATATAAATATTATTGTAATTTTTAATTTTAACAATATAAATAAAATTATTTAACGTATAAATTTTTTATTGTAATTTTAATATACAAACATAAATTCAATATTATCACATAGATATATTTGTTTAATTATTTGGTTTATTTACAAAATTAAATAAAAAATATATACAATATACAATAAAAATAAATATAAATACGTTAAAATACAAGATTATTTTCAGCGTATTCTAGCAGGTCATCATAGTCCAACAAGTAAATATGTTTTAATTTTTTGTTCAAAAACTTAATCACAAATTCAAAATCAAGTTCGTAAAATTCTCTTCTGTGTTCTACTATTTCCCAACTATCAATATTATAATAATTCACACCTTCGTTAAATAGATTGTGATATGAACGGGCATGTGCGTTAAAAAAGTTAAACCACATCCTGTATTTTTGATATTTTTTAGGGTTTTCTCTTCTTACATCATCAAGATATTCTTCGTATCTTGTGTAAAATTTTAATTCAAGAACAGAGAATTGGCTTTCAAATTCAACGGTTGGTAAGGAGTTTTCAAAAGAATCTTCTTTATCGTCTGTTGAACTTGACGGCCAAGATTCAACTTTTTCGCAGAAATTATCCCAACTGTCTTCTTGTTTTTGGGTTTTCTTGAAGCATTTTAAGAGTCTTTTTAAGAATTTCATCTTGTATTAATTGTTGTTTTGTATATGTTGTGTTTGTAAAATTCAAAAGAGAATTGGGATTATCACCGTCAAAATTCTTGCGTTAAATAAACTTTTTACTTTGCAAATCTCATAAATCATTTTGTCAGCACAAATAATATTATTGGTTCGTTACGCGTCAACTTCTTGCTTTATTCAATTCTTTCAAAACCGGTTTTTCTCAATCCCATAATTTTTGGAAAAGTATATATTTACTAGAATTTGTATAATATTCAAATAATTTTATTAAAGGGCATTTTTACATATTTATTATTCAATTGGCAATACGGCGAAGCCGCACCAACCATTTTTTTTTTTAAACGGACGCGACAGCCCGTTGCGGGGTCGAAGAATGACGCGTTCGCTACAACGTAAGAACAAGGAA